AGATAACCTCTTTACAAAAATTACAGCGAAACATATCGATCATATCATATTGATTAAAATACTTATTCATAATTTCATGGTTTAAACCTGTCATGAGAGAATCACTTTTCTTAACGATAATATAAGGTTTCTTAACATTTTTGTTTCCCCTAACAATATTTTTTTTTCTCTACAGATTTGGTGTTTTGAAGTTTTCGAATCAGATCACTTGTATCAGGTTTCTTTACGCTCTTTTTGACAATTTCTTGTACGAAAAGTAACTTTTCATTAAATTTTCCATTCTTAACATATTCTCTCCAATCACCATTATGTTTTGTGGCAAAATGTTTTTTTATGGTCGATACCTTGGGGTTTGTTCGAAATATATATCCACAGACTAATCATTTATTTTTACGAAAATAAAATATTATTGAATATTTTTTATTATCAGCCCTTGGTCAATTAAATAGATGATAGCGAATCTGGCACCAGATCTCATTATGTTTTTTCGATAAAATATGTCTTCATCATACTGATATTTGATGAGCAGAATTTTCGATTGCATATTTTACAAACTCTTTTGACAAAATATGATATGATTGGATAGCACCGTGATTTGAACATTGTCATTTGTTGCTAAGGTTAAATCTGGTTTATTTATATTTATTTAACTATGCAATATTTTTGGTTTAGAATTAAAGATGTAATTGATGATCATACACTGCAGACCAGAGCCATGAGTTGGACATGGTTAGTCCCATCTAACTACTCCGGTCCGGCAGTGTATGATCATCGATCACATGTTTTATCAAGTTATAACTTCATTAATTGACTATTCAATTTTACAACTATCTCTATATTAGAATTCACTACATCACCACTCATAGGAACATGGGTCTGAGGGACTGTGTATACTATCACATTTTTCACAACGTTCTCTATTGAGATCGATTATTAGAGGTCGTGTGATTATAGCATTACTCTTTCTTGGATGTACCTCAACCTTTAAGAATATGATTCCGAGTTTTTCTGTGATCACACCCTGGCAACTTGTCAAATGCTCATTGAATATTTCTTCATTGTACTTGGTACAATAAAATGGACACTTTGCCCATGTTGCAACACTTCCATCTGGTGAGAAGGTAGATGGATATGCTAATGCATATTGATAAATACATTTACAATACTCTATGTTCTGTTTATACGAAACACAGCATTCATATAAAGCTTCCTGGCTACAGATAGGGCAAGTTCTATATTGGCATTTGAATGTGGTAAACCCTTTGTTGAAGTTGAAATCATTACATTTCTCATAAAAATAACAAGGCTCGATTGTATTATTGCTTTTAATATATTCTTTTATTGGGATGAAGTTCGATTCTATTTTAAGTTGATTGGTTAAAGTAGTCTTAATATTGTCTCATTTGTAGACAATTTTGAGTATCTCTACAGCATCTTTTAACATTAAAAATCAGCAATTTTTTGAAGATTCATTTTTTTATTTGCGCTTGGGTTTACTTTTTTTTTACCAATGAGCTGATGTTTATTTATTTATAAAAATAATATAATTGTACAAAGACAGAGATGGGAAGATCTACCGATGGATTTTAGAATGTGAATTCTATACCTATTCTTTTTAATCTCGCTCTTACAATTTGTGAATTATTTACAGTAACACTAACGAATTTGTCC